CATCACTGATTACATGAAAGAGTAGTAATTTTTTCCAGGCGATCTATTAAACAATTACTCTGTTTTGATTCCTGAGCTGGTAACTGTTTGTACATTCACAATGGTGACTGTTTTATTATTTCACAGCCTGTAGAAACATGCTGATAAAAACCATCTAGATTATGTGACCATAAATCACCACAGTATGAATTAAGACAAGCCCGTTTCTGTTACTCTCAGGTGCTGCTTTAAGCATGACTGCTGCTATGGTAAGGCAGAGCAGGCAGGTTGTCATCCAAAGACAGAAAGTTACCACTGGGAATGTGAAGACCATGCTGCTGTGTGTGGTGAGTGAACAGTTCTAGTTGGGGGTTTTGGTTTGTTTGTTTGGTTTTTTTTTACTTCTACTGCTTGTCTCATTGACTTCACAGAAAGACATTTTCTTAATTAACTGTAAAATTCTTATTTTACTATCCTCCCTTTTGTGACTTTTTTTTGCCAGGGTAAGCTGTGCCTCCAGAAAGCACAGCTTTGCCCACCAACTGAATGCAGTTTCTTCTTCTTAATCCTCACCTACCAACATACACAATCAAACGAAATTCTGACCCATAAGCTTCTATTAGCCTATTAGTGTTCAGAAAACACTACCAAAAAACCCCCCTCTTTTTACTCAGTATTTACATATGTTGAGGAACCCATGTTACACTACACCCTGTAGGTCTCCAACTGGAGAGCAACTACAAACAGGAGGTGAGAAAATTACAACTGTTTAAAATGGAACCTTTTCATATTTAGCAGAAAATATTTCACATAATTTATAAGTTTATAATGGACAAGTTTTTAGCATACTTACCACTAGTCAGTTGCACAGCCCACTGCTAGTGGCTGCAATTTATGAATGAATTCACAATTACAACTTACAATTTCAAATACTGAGGTAATAAAATATTTGATGAGTATGTTTATTTATGGAAGTAACATGTCCAGGAGCCATAAAATGTTAATTTGAAAATATATACATAATTGGTGTACAAGTTGCAACAGATGGCTGACCACATCCTGATAAATTTTGTTTGATTGCTCCAAAATATGAATGTATTATACTTACCATGCTGTAGTACAAAAGACAAGGACAAAGAGATCTCAAAGAAACAAACAGGAAATGTTTAACAGGAAAAAGCAGCATTTCTTTTACATTATTTGTTCACAACTCCCAAAGTTTTAGCAAATATTTTCCAATACACTTTGATACACTTTGAAGACTTTCCGAAACTATAACTTCTCACAAGCCTCCAAAATTTGCAGGGTTTTTTCTTGTTAGGTTTTGGGGTTTTTTTGTTTGAGTTTTTTGGGGGTTTTTTTTTTGGGGGGGGCAGGTTGTTTTTGTTGTTTTGCGTGTTGATTGGAGTTTGTTTTGTTTCTTAAATCAGGTGCTATTTGCACATAATTTTATGTTACTACGTAGAATGCAAATCAGCTTGAGAACTGGTTACTATTTGCACCACAAAAATGCAGACCCTTACCTAACCTTGTTTACAACAATGAGCCTGAGTTTCTGACTACCATAATTTAAAAGCAACACAGTAGGCTGTTCAGAGAAAACACAAAAACCTCTCATTTCATAACTCAATTTAGAATCTGCCTGACCTGAAATCAAATGAAAGTTTTTGACACCATTTCCTTTTCTCCTTTTCATTCAACCTTTACTTTGCTTAAGTGTCGAACTCATGCAGAATCTCTACTTGCTCATTTCCTCCTCTGTTCCAGAAGTACTAAGCATCTTCTCTCTCAACCTATCTACTTAATGTCAAGTTACAGTCCACCTGTATTTGGCTGTAAAGGTTCTGCTGCTGTTCCAGTCCAGAAGCTGACAATATTTTTAAATACTGGCCAAGATAGTAGGCATGTTGTTAAGAAACAAACATGAAACAGTCCCTGGTACACTGTGGGGCAGATTAAGTTTGGAGCAATAACAAGACAAAGAATAGTTCTCAGTTAATGTTTGGGGTTTTTTTATCCTACCATGCTGTTTATGCTATTGGGTAGTTCTTAGGGTAGCTAGTTGCAGAGTCAACATGTATACATGAAGAACACTTCAATTTCATAGCAGAGTTTGAATTCATTCATTAAACTAAACACTTGTTTTGCTCCTAGACAAATCTCAAGCAGAGATTTGGCTAAGCTTTCAAAATGTTAAATACTCAGACAAAATATAATCAAGGATTCTTCAGTTTGCAGACAGTTGCAGAGAGAAAAGCCCCACATTTCTGGGTTGGCACAATAAAACCAAAATATATTGCCATAGCAGAAAACATTCATGCCAAGAAGAAATATTCATGCCAAGAAATCTGTTAAGTTACAACATTACAATTATAAAACAAATATGGCCAGACATGGATTTTATCATACTTAAACACACTTTACCCAACTGCTTACAGAATGCTGTAAAACAAAAGGTGGGCAATTTAAGCTGAACATGAAATATCTTTGCATCCCTTATTTCACATACAGAATTTTAATGCTACATCCTTTAGCAGCTTAATGCGTATGTGAAATGGAAAATTTCCCAAACTCAAGTTTCACTACATCGACAGGGTGGGCAGGGAAGGTCACATATCACTTTCTGAAGAGGTCAGTTATCGGAGTTCCCTTATTAAAGAAGATGAAGAAGAGTATTTAAGTCTTTATCCAATTATTATATTTTCACCTGCCAAGACAGTTCCATTGGTTACCAACTGTCACTAAACCAAACCATGCTTGTATATTCTCTGTTGCTGAGATACCCTAGCACAGAACTCTAAAGAACATGAAAGAATTCTAAGTCTTACTAAAGCTCAGTACAGTTCCTGTTGCACTTAAAACGTAAGAGCCATTTAGCTGGCAAACATGGAACATGAGGTAGCAATTTTTGGTATTCCATTGGCATTTTTATTTACTTCAGACTAACATCAAACTTCCTGTTTTCTTTCAGAATCACTAGAAGACAAATGTCAAAAAATGGCATGTGAATGTGACCGTGAAGCTGCCAAATGTTTTTCTAAAGCTCCCTATCATACAAAATACCTTTTGTGGCCAGACTTTATGTGTGGAGAGATTCAGCCTTTGTGTAGGTATTAGATATACGACATCAGGCTTTATGAAAACTCTGTATGTACTTAAATCTAAAATGACCTATTTTTTTTTGTCACAGTAGTGACAACAAATGATTTTTCCCTTTCTCGATCCTCCTTCCTGCCACCTCAGCTTCTCCACCCTAGAATGGCCAAAATAAACATTTATCCTCTTCTTTACTTTCTACAGTGCACTAAAAGCAAGTTCATTACTTCTATGTAAGCTTTTATCGACTAAATAGGAATTTGAATTTACTAGCTTAAAGAGTAACTGACTTAAAATTAATTATGTTTATATTCAGACTCAGAGATTTTTCAGATTCATAATGTCATTCACTGTAAACTTTTCATCCCCCCTCCACTGGCTATAAGACACAAATCAAAACTTTTCCACTAACATTAACCTTAACATTTGTTAACTTTGAACTGATTGGAAGAAATGCATGAAATGACAATGTCAGAACAAAGAACCCTCTCATCTATATTAAACATTTCTTATAAAGCCTAATCTAGCTTTTGCATCTCATTCACCTTAAGTAGCCCTGCCTGTATTAAAAAATGCCTAATATATTTCTTTTTTTTAGTATTTACTTTTTTAAAAGTTTTCTAAGAAGCTGTTCATTTGCTAAGGCTCAAGCTCCTTACTCTAAGTACACCATGTGTTTCCTGTGGGCACAGGGAGAAGTTCTACCCTTAAAACTTCAGAGCCAGATTTAAAAGTGCAAATGCAAACCATCACCAAGACAGATAGATGAAAAAAGTAGCAGTCACTGGGACCAACTGCCTTTTCCATAAGTGTCTGATCTCGGACAAAATTGCAAAGGTCAGAAGGGTATATACCTCACAAGGATGTAAAGATGGTTTTAGCTAGGGTGAATTCATTGGGTTTTTTAAATCCTCTAGGAAGAGAATTCAGTAACAAATAGCTGAATAATGCACTTTTTCATAACTGCTAATTTTAGCAGTTTAAGAACTTAGAGTGTTTTATGTCTATTTTCACCCACCTCAACCTAATTAAAGATGCAGGGCTACAGAGCAAGTTTGCACAAGTCAAAGCTAATGACAAGTACTTCAATATAAAAAAAAACCAAAACACCACACTTCTTTAGAAAGGATGAAGATTTCAAGTGAGATCTTTAATCTTTAAAAATATTCATTTGAAGTTCATATTAATGATACAAATTAAAAAAAAAAAAAAATCAAAAAACCAACCAAATAACCAATGCAGAATCCAAGTGGACAAAGCTCTTGGGGAAAAAAAAAATATCTACCTTTTGCTTCAGTCAAAAACCATACATTAACAAATGGCAATCTTGTTTACACAAAATAACTTTCCTGTTGATATTCACTCACAGATCTAGATACACGCATCATATTGCAGTAAGATGTAATTACAGTGTCAGGTCACTTTTCCAAAATAATCCTTTTTAAGAGATAGCCCTGAATTTAAAAGTTATCAACAGACTTAAAGAGGAGAGCATTAAAGAAGCTATTGATGAAGTCTACTGGATCTGAATAAAAAAATTTGAATGGAAATCACCACATTTTTCAGAAGACAAGAAAATTCAAGCAGTCTTTGCCTTCAACAGTGAAAATTTTAGAACAAATTCTACTGGGAGACTGTGTATTTGACAGTTACAACCTTACATGTAAAGCAGACTGAAAACACTGAAGTACTTTCAATATCAAGCCTACCCATGAAGAGCTTTCCTTTGGCAAATTTAACTTGAGGATCACATTGCTGGTATGAAATGCTAAGTTAAAAAAATAATAATAATTTAAAAATCACTGTAGCTTTTCAGAAGACACTGATTTTAAGGCAGGCTTGAAAATAAACAGAATGCTTGAGACAGAATAGAGAAATTTGATTTGATCAGAAATAGGGTGACAGGACTGTATAAGTCTTACATGGCTAAATCAGGAATGTAATTTTTTCTAATAGGAAATTCCCTTGGGATAATAAAACCCATCCTCAGATTTGGAATCAGCTGGTTTAAGAGTAACTTACCTTAAGGCTTTTTTGTATACTTAAGTTAACATAATCCACCACTTTCATTGCCACATATATAAAGATGAAAAGCAAAGCTTATTTCAAATGTCCATTTTTAGAAGCCAAACAGCTCAAAAGTTCCAATGCCAGTCACTGCACTTGTGTCTCCAGACGCCTTATTTCTTTAACCACTAGATCAATGTTTATAATTGGGTTAAAGTACAAGGCCCAGTAAAACAAACAATTGCAGACAAACTGAGGAATAAAAGGCCAAAAAATGGCAACAAAAAGACCCTGGGTTGAGACTTTCCAGAAATGTCTCCACATTCTATGAGGAACAGTCCTGTGAAAAAGGAAAGGGAGAGGCTTAGAGGAACCTTCCATTTTGTTTTTACCCATTCTAAGAAAAGCTAATACGTGCTGCAGCCTTAAATTATTTAGCCCTTACTCAGATACCTGTAAAACATCATTTTGTACTCCAGAAAAGCTTTCTTAAAATACAGTAATACTAGCTTTTATATGAGGAAGCATGAAGTCAATTTATTCAGACCACAAAGCAAAGCAAGTCGAAGTGGTGAAATTCCAGATTTGTCAGTTTCCACGTGCCCTGTTCTCTTTTGAACACGTTCTGCCCCCTAGCGGCTGGCAGGGAAAGTGAAACCCCAGTATACACCAGAACAATAATCACTGCGATTAGGAAGTAATATTCATATACTTGCATTAAGGCTAAAGCAGTAACTGAAAACAGGAATTTTGGTCACCTATCAGAAATAATATCAGTGTAATTAAATTACTTATGATCCTGAGGGCTCATCCTTTAGTAACTATGTTATAAGCCTATCGTGACAAAATTCTTAGAAATTTAGTTCTCAGCTGACAGCTAATACCAGTTACCATAAAAGGCAATTCTCAAAGGAAGAGTTAATATTTACCCAATGGTTAAGAACATGCTTACTACCATTGCTGCATTTGCTACATCTGATCAATAAAACCAATAAACCCTTTAAAGTATTCACAGAAATAAAGATATTCAAGATAAGTACTAGTATACGTGTGGATTCAGATTCATATGTTCTTATTAACCTCAGAGTTGTGGTTACACACTGTCATTTCAGTGAGCAACTGTGACATTGTAAGACTGTTATTTTCTATTTATAATGCCATGTACTTCCCACCCTCTTCAACAAGTTCAGTAAGACTTACTTCAATTCTCTTCTTGACCAGAGCCTCCAAAAGGAGAATAATTCCAGAACAGAAAGCAACATGGCATTTACAATTATAAATCTTGATGTCCAGTAGTGCATGTCCAGCCAATCCCAAGCAAATTCAGCTATCAACTGGTATGGCAAAAATAAATACTTTAAAATGAATTCTCTCCATTGTTTCCAAGTAGGATCTTTAAGGTCCTGTAAATTAGGATAAAAAGACTGTTTATCAATTTCATTAAACAAATACAATACTGGCTTATTTCCACTATACCTTTGTTGAAAAATTGTTTTTTCATGCATCAAAAGCGGTAATTTATCTTTACTATAGCTTCTAGTAGATAATAATATAACCCAGTAATTTCCATTACATGAGAATAAAACATCACAGACAGACAGGCCTTATAATGCCATTTTTTAAAATATAAGTATTTTGAGTGAGCAGCCTTTCTATAGTCATGTGAGCTTAAATAAATAAATAAATAAATATGAGTTCCACAGATATAAATTCTTAAAAGCCTTAAATCAATCTTATTTAAGGTTGTGGTCACAACACTGGTGATCACATACAATAAAATCAAGGAACCATACTTTGTAGGCCTTTATTTAAACAAGTTATAAAGATATGAAATAGTGAATAATTACATCGTGTTTTTATGCTGCTAGTTTTAAAAAGCTTATAACTAAAGCAAGTAGCATATTTAATGTTTTGGACACTTACTAGTAGTTTTGTGACAATATCTTCATACTTGTCTTCTTGTGTAGGGCAAATTGTGTGGATGAAAGGTAGGAAAGCTTCTGCATAATCAAACAAATATAGGTATAACATACTGAGTCTTGGAGAACTCTTCAGTGCATACAGAAGAAAGAGTGATTTTCCTGGATTTACTGCCTGAAAAACATCAAATTATCAAGTTTCAAACAATGAAAAAATAAAATGAAAAGGACATGCCAGTTCTTAGATTTTTCTGACAATCATTTTTCAAAGGATCATTTTTCAAATAGAACAATTCATTAAACTAAGCAGTTTTTACAAGGGTAATTTGACTACCTTAACACTCCTCCTGGCTTTAAAATAATCTTCTTTTAAAGATATTCTTTTAAAAATACTTTATACATGACAGACTTCATATAAAATTTACCTTATATTCCCAAAGGTTCTGTGGTGGTTTAACACCTAAAGTTTTCACACATTCCAGTTCCGCCATAATAGCTTTTCTATGGTTACTGTTCTCTATACTGTAAGGCTCTTTTGTGAAATCCTCCTCTGTCAGTGTTAGGAGGAGTCTACAAAAGCAGAAGAATTCAGAAGGTAAACAGTGCCTCTTCTCCAAAAAGATATGACTAACAAATTAGCAATTACATACTGAAACAATAAGCTACTGATAGAAGGTATCACCTTTTGGATTACATTCCATATCAAGTGTTCTCAATCAACTGCGTCTCAGAGCCTGGGTTTTAAATATCCTTCAAGTTTTCTCTTGCCTGCTTTCAGCATGCAAATTTATCAGCTTGTTGGCTATTATTGAACACAGTTCTTCAGTACTTCACAGATCTAGTCTGGTCTCCTGAAATCAAACCTAGAGCTCTTGGGTGGAATGCAACAATGCATATAGGATATGCATATTTTCACAAGAAAGAAAAGGTGGGAGGGGTGGATAATACATTAGTAGAATTTTACTTTTAGTATCATTTCAGTCTGCATTGTCAGCATTTAAAAAAGGTTTTAGAAAATTTTCACTTAGCTTGCTTAGTATCTACTACTAAAGTTTTCAACTACAAGTGTTAAAACTTCCCCTGAATTTTATTCTGATACATCAACAGAATATTCCCACAATCTATGGAACAAAGTACAGTCATTTCACAATATACCGCCCATGAAAGCTACCCAGTAGTCCGATCAAATGACAGCTGTTCTTGACAATTAAGCCTCTCACCTTCCATTCACTTTTTCCAGCAAAAATCCTTCTTTATAATGTGAAGCCCATGGTCCCAGCTGCTCTAGCCAAAGGATCACTTCCTCGGCAGTCCATTTAGCAACAGGCTTGTGGACAAGATGATCTTCTTCAAATTCTCTGCTACTCCAGTGATACCCAAGTAGAACTACCTATAAGTAGATTAAAAAAAACCAAAATGGGGTGGGGTGGGAAAAAAGAGATAGTTTACCTGCAAAGCAAATATATTAAAGATACAAATAAACACCTATTAACGGGCTTGACCTGTAGAATCTTCCATTTTATAGACCCTAGAATATTCAGGTTATAATATATATAACATTTTTATATACATTTTTAGTATTTTTATAATTATATATTCTGTATCTATTATATAGATAGTATCTAGTATATAAAATCTATATATTAAATATAAATTATACACATTATATGTATTTTTTCAGGTATCTTGAAGTTTTACCCAATTTATCTAACTTCTGTTTGCTGTATATTGTAATTGTAGTTCCTGACAGACAACTCTGAACACTACCTTATTTACTCCACACAGATAGTCTTTTCTGTGCTGATGATCCTTTTCATGTGCATGTAATTTAGTCATATTTGATTGCATGCTTAGTGAAGTGAATATGGCAAATCAACCAGATCAAACTTACTGCTACACAAGTTAAAGCTGTCAGAACGCCCGAGAAAAACCCTCCTCCTCGAGGATTAATTCTTCCTGTGTTCGGAACTGTAGGGATCTGGTCAGTCCCATATTTTTGAAAGGTTGCTAAGCTGCGTGCTACATCACTGTTTTGTTGAATATCTTCTTTTCTTTGTTCAACGACATCAGAAAATAGCTTTTCAATAACATCCCTAATGGGAAAAATATTTGTCATTGTACTATAACCACTGAGGCTTAACGTTCAGAAAATGAACTAATTTTGGGATTTTTGTTTTCCAGTCTCTACTAAAGACTATCATCTTTGAAAGCAAGAAAACATTAGTTATTAATACTTAGTAAAGTTAAACCAATTACTTTCAAACAACATTTTCCTTAGCTTCTAAAGACAGAGGAAATTAAAATATCACATTAAAAAAAAAAAAGTCCTTCTTATATAAAACTAGAATTGTGTATGCTCTTGGCAAGCCTTTATTATTAAAAAATGTTAAGCAAAAGATAACATAAAAGCCTACCATCAATCCTACCAACTATTTATTAAAATATTATTAACCTAAGATAAAGTATTATTAACACAATAACTTGTAAGTAATTCAAGACATCAAATTGATATTTCTAGCTTTGTTCTGTAATAACACATTTCTTCCTATAAATAATTCCTATTACAGAAATAATTACACAATTATCAAAGATCATTTTAACTTAGAATTATTAGGAAACAACCAGCTGTACTAAAAGATGCAAGTGTCTCAATACTAAAAAAGGATCCCTCCTCTCCATCCCCCAAAAAATTCAAAGGGAAAAAAAAAACCAAACCAAAACAAAGCCAACCAACCCACTCCTCCGTTCCATGCAGAAAAATGTGCTTGAACAGCTCAGTACAAGTGCAGAACATGAAAGACTTTAGGATTTAAATATCCTTGCAACATTTCAGATTACCAATAAACTATGAAAATCTGCAGTAAACTCAAGAAACTGGACAACTAATTTTGGTGGTTTTAGAAACCCAAAAATGGCAAGTTACACTCACCTGAGGAGGATGTTGACTTTGGGGAATCCTTCCCATTTTTCTCTGCATTCGGGGCATTCATTCTTCTTGGATGACACCCACCACAAGGCCAGGCAATGTCTACAGAAACTATGCCCACAGTTCAGGGTGGTGGGATTGACCAGAATGTCATAACAGCAGTGGCAAAGGAACTCACTAACTGATATCTGCCGACCAATCTCAGGAGTAGCACGTGTTTCAACTTTTGCCCTCTCTGTTTCACTTTGTAAAGTCTCATCTTCTTCCATTTTCTTTTATGCCTTATGCAAACAGAAAGCTCCTTAGATCTTCAAACCAGGTAAGACATTGTTTCTGCAAAGCAACAAGATAAACTTCACTAAGAAAAAAGTTACTATAGAAGTTTAGAATTCCAAGCAGTATAATTTAGCATCGTAATTCTTTTGTTGCTCTGATGGTTTTAAACTTCTTAACTTAGTTCTCCCCAAAATGAATGCGATCATCTACATTTTCAACAACATATTCATTGCAAACTACAATCAAAACCAGATTCTAGATGTAAACAGCTGGGCTCAATCTCCTGTATTTTCCTGTGTTACGTAACACATGAAAGTGAAACAAAAAACTTACTTTGGATTTGGATTATTTTTGACAGTATCTTTAATCAAGGTTTTAGTAAAAGACACCAATCAAAAGAAATAGAATTAGAAATACCATCAGAGAAAACAAAAATAAATCACCAGGATAACGTAATGATCTAATTTACTCCACCGCTATTCTTTCTAAGCATATGGAATAAAACATTACTGACAAAGTTCAATGCAACACATTGCTGGGCAATGTTAAAAAAAAAACCTAAAAAATAAATCAATTGCCTAAGTCGTGCACTTCAGAATCATACGGGATTGATCTACTTGCCATCTCAGGGAATGACTGAACACCGTATTAACTTTACTAGTAATTACTCTTTCCTAGTATTTCAGGACATGCACAAATTAGAAGAGTTTAAGATTGCATCTACCTTACTAAAAATATAAACCTATTTGCTTGGTGTTCCTACTATATTCTCTCAGATAGCTGTATCTAGTTTCTTAAGAAAAACACTGATCCAGATAACTTACTTATCAGTCATGATATTTTAGAAGCGACCAAAAACTATACAATTATCTCCTCAGGCAGTACCAAACCAAAATATACTTACGCTCTCCACCATGTGGCTCCTGCTTACTACTGTTACCATCCTTCCATCCAGATCAAGTACAAAGAGGTAAGCATGAAAGTTGTTAAAGAACAAAAATTTAAAAAGCAGTACAGAAATACAAACCAAGGGTGCAATTAGGATCCTCAGACTGCTAACAAACATGTATTTTCCCAGCAAAGCAAACACTATCAGCTTTCTAAGGGACAAACGCGAAACATCACTTACAAGAGGCGAAACAAAACCAGGGTTTTACGCCTAAGAGCATTCTTCTAGTTTTCCTGGGGGAGAGAGGTAACAGGGTTTCTGTGGGTGCAAAAATATGTCACGGCTCAGTCCCTGCACCAATTAAGAGAAGGGTCACAAGCAGAAAGCTTACGAGCTCCTCTTCTGCCTCCTCCTTCCAGCTTCCGCCTGCTTCCTCCCCTCCGCGCTGCCACCACCACCGCGGCGCCGA